GGACCTGACTGTATATAAGAGTTGGTTTGGCCTCTAATGGGAGCCTCTGTACAATACATTAGCCTTTGTATCTCTCTACTCTGTAATGACTTGCTTCTATGAATATTGCTTCAGTGTTCCTGATATTTTATTTATTTTTTATTTATTTATTAGTTTGATTTGTATGCCGCCCTTCTCCGGAGACTCAGGGCAGCTTACAGCCTTCATTTTTTTTAAAAAAAACAAGTTTTTATTATTTTTTATAATCAAACAAATAACATTTTCACTTGTATATTTAAACATTTATAAACCCAACCTTCCACCCCCCCTTCCGACCCCCCCCTCCCCCGACTTCCCAGAAGAAAAACAGGGTATAAGTTTTATCAAACATACGCTAAAATATGCTAAGTTAATGCAAGACTATAAATCCCTAGACCCCTTAACTCCCCTTCTACAGATTATTCATCAACCTCCCTTTAAACTCAAAATAACATATAATCCTTTAGGCCTAAGAGTTTTAAAAACATTAACAAGCACTAATAGATCATTCAGAGCCTAGAATTCTCGTAATACATCTGTAAAATATTCTTAGTTCATTTTCTTAATCATTTTACTCTCCCTTCTACTTTTATTCTCAAAATTCAAATATTTTTTCTTAAACCTTAATTAATCATTAATTGAAAATTTATTTACTTAATCATTGTAATTAGTCATTAATACATCAATTATTAGACCAAAGAAAATTAATCTTCCCTTCTTCCTTTCTTTCTATATTTTTTCCAATCTTTCTTCCTCCCTCTTACTTTTATTTTGAGGAGGTTTTGATTTTCAACTGGAGGTTGATGTATCTTTAAAACTTGCCCCTTTCTTGGAATCATTTCCTCTGATTTGGAGCCCCCATATCGACTCTTCTTGCTTATATAATCAGTCAGTTCATAGAACAAAGAATTAACTCGATGAATTTGGGAAAAAAAGTCCAGTTGTTGCATTTCAATTAATTGTGTGAAAACCTCTGCCAAATCTTCCGAAACCTCGTAGGGCTGATCAGTTTCTTCTTCTTTCTGCTCCAAATTATATTTTTGAAAAGTTCTGTCAGTTAATTCCACAAGGGCAGGAAGAAAGTTTGAAGATTCTTGACAATCAGCCAAATCCAGCTTCTCTGTTTTAACCAAAATGTCTCCTTCATTGTCATTGTGCTTTCCTTCAAAAACATCCTCATTTCCTTTTATATCCTCCACCAGTTCTATAAATTTTTGTTCCATGATTGCTGTAAAGTTATTAATAATTGCCATTTGGTTATTCATGGCTTCCTTTATAAATTCTGTAAAGTCTCTGAAAAAATCCTCTTGGCTCTGTGAGTCAGTTCTCTGTATCCTTTCTGACGCCATTAGAGAGCTTCCACCACTTTCAAAAACTCCTTGCTTGGAAGCCATATTATTTTAAGAAAATTTTTCTTTTCAAAGCCAAAACATCTCTTAAGCAACTTTCTCAAATTTATTTGTAGTTTATGAAGCAAGATAGTCTTTTCTACACCCAGCTCTCAAATCCCAGCATCTTAAGTCCAGTCTCTAAGCACAAATCTATTAACAAGCACTTAACTTTCACTTTCAGTCCAGCCATAATAAAGACGCCATTTCCTCCTTCAGCTCAGCAAAATCAAGTAGAAACAATGTATCCCAGGAGTTAAGCAACATACTTGCAAAGGCTTGTTCTCCTGCTTCCGTTCTGCCTGCTTTTGGACTCAATTAGTTTCCTTGTTGACAGCAGAGTTGGTCACCGGCGTCTGGCTCCGTTTAAAACGGAGTCGCCATGGATCCAGAGCTTCAGTGGGCTGAGCGGGGAGCTCTCACCCTCCAAGCCCCTGGAATTGCTCCAGGGGCTCCCGGGGAGCTCTACCCTCGCCCACCGGCTCTCCTCTCCTCCTTCTCCCGAAGGAGAGGTTTTCAAGCCGTCTGACAGCTGATTAGCGCTGTCAGAACGGCTCCAACGGAATCACGGGGCTGGCAATCTGAAAAGACCGTCCGCGACGCCAGCGGTGCCAACGGAAGTCTAGCCTTCATATTTTTGTATATACCTTAGTAGGGCTTTTGGGCCCCCCAAGCGGTGTTCTATTTTATACAAAGTCAGCTTATTGCTCCCACAAACCGGGTCCTCATTTTACCTACCTCGGAAGGATGGAAGGCTGAGTCAACCTTGAGCCTGGTGAGAATTGAACTCGCAGTAATTGCAGGCAGCTGGCAGCTAAATACTACTTTAACAGTAGTTTAGTCCACTGCACCACCAGGCTCCATATTGTATGCTGAATTCTCCTGTTTGGTATTGTATATAAAGAAGTTTCTTATGTAATTTGAATCCTGCTGAAGTCCATTTAATTGTGTCTGATTGTGTGTGCTGCAACAAATTGACAAGAAGCATAGTTGTTAAGTGAGTCTGACTTCTCCTTTGACTTTGCTTGTCAGAAGGTCACAAAAGGTGATCACATGACCTGGGGACACTGTAACCGTCATAAATATGAACCAGTTGTCCCGTTGTGTGACACACTGAAGCAAGTTAAACAACGGATTAAAGATATACATGGGCAAACTCTTTCAACTAATCACTCCCTTAAACTGCTGACAGCAGTTAAAACAACTTTCACCCTGGAAAAGTATTTACATTTAGAAATGCCATCAGTGGAGAGACAGTTATTTGTTAAGTTTAGATTCGAACTTTTAGATACCAATGTTAAATTCGGCCGTTACCGGAAAATCCCGTATGACAAAAGAACATGTATATGTGGGGTAAACGTCGTGGAGGACACGGCGCATATAACATTCGAATGTAGGCTGTACGAGGAAGTAAGAAAACAATATCTGTCCCCAATTACAAATAAATTTCCCCACTGGAATATAAGGCATAAATTAGCATTTCTGTTGAAGGCTGACTCTCCTCCCATGATAAGGGCTATCACTTGCTATCTTAAAAGGATGACAGCAATACCAGCCAGTTATATCGAAAAGAATTTCATTGATTGTAAGAAAGATGAGCTGAGTTAGAGAGGAGCTAGATATTTGGGTTATCTAGTCTTGGCAACTTAGCTATTGAAATCTGATATTGTAAAATTTTAATGTCATATATCATATATTTTTAGATTGTTATTTCTGTAACTGAGGATGGGGAGGATGGGGAGGAACAGGCTCAGGCTCAACCCATCCAAGACTGAGTGGCTGTGGTTTCCGACGTCCCGATATAGTCAGTTGACGCCAACACTGACTATTGGGGGCGAATCATTGGCCCCCACGGAGAGGGCTCGCAACTTGGGCGTCCTCCTGGATTCACGGCTGTCTTTAGAAGAGCACTTGATGGCCGTGACCGGGAGGATTTTTCATCAGGTTCGCCTGATTCGCCAGTTGCATCCCTTTCTGGATCGGAACTCGTTACGCACGGTCACTCATGCCCTTGTCACCTCCCGCCTGGACTATTGCAACGCTCTCTACATGGGGCTCCCCTTGAGGAGCACCCGGAGGCTCCAACTGGCGCAGAGTGCAGCCGCGCGAGTGGTAATGGGAGCGACATGGCGTTCCCATGTAACACCCCTCCTGCGCGAGCTGCACTGGCTCCCGGTGGTCTTCCGGGTGCGCTTCAAGGTTTTGGTTACCACCTTTAAAGCGCTCCATGGCTTAGGACCCGGGTACTTGCGGGATCGCCTACTACCACCAATAGCCTCCCACCGGCCGGTACGCTCCCATAGAGAGGGGCTCCTCCAGGTGCCGTCAGCCAAACAATGCCGACTGGCGGCCCCCAGGGGGAGAGCCTTCTCTGTGGGGGCACCTACTATCTGGAACGAGCTCCCCCCAGAGATACGGAGGATCCCGGATTTGCGCACCTTCCGCCGCGCCTTAAAGACTTTACTATTTCACCAGGCCGGCCTGGCCTAATTTCCCCCCTCTTTTATAAAAGATTTTTAAAATTTTAAATATCTTTTAGTATTTATATATTCAATTTTAAATTGGTTTTAAAAGTTTGGGGTTTTAAATTTGTCGGGGCCAAAATTATTTAATTTGATTTTATTCTATTTTTTAAATTTTGTATTGTATGTGTTTTTATTGTTTGGACTCCTTTTTTCAAAGTCAGAGGGAGAATTCCAAAAGCAAAACAGCTACCAAGGAGAGTAATGTTAATATGCAAGCTCTCAGAGTGAAAGGGGGGGAAAAGGGGGGTAGGTGGGATTTCTGAAGTTTTAGAATAGAAAGCAGATAGTTATATAGAAAAATACAGTAAAAATACAATAAAAGTGTTAAGATCTTTTCAAGTTGATCATATATATAGTCTTTTTGGTGAAAATTTAATGTGGTTAAATAATTTTCTCAGTAATCTAAGATAATTTATTGTTGTTTGTCTCTTTTCCATATGGGGAAATAAACTATTTCATCCCACTCTTCCAACACTCATGTGGAGGAATGTATTGAGTTTCCAGCACACAGTCAGCAATTTACACACTGAAAAAAAAAAAAAACCTTTGCAAAGCAGTTAAAAGCATAGGTGTCCTTTGAAAACAAAGACTAGAAGGACAGGGTGTAACCCTCCTCCTTCCGCTGAATTTACCAGGGAGATGAAATCTACTGAATCTCTCCCCCTTTGGATGACACAACCGTCCAAGGAATTTCAGAGTAATTTCACATTGTTCCTTTTCCAATCCAGGAGCAAACTGGCTACGGAGAGTAACTCCTAAGCCATTTGTCTAGCAGAGCAAAGAAATTCTCAGCTAGTTCAGGATGCCATTTCTGGGTGGAGTCAACAGATCTCATTTCATTTAAAGATTTCTTGCACATCTCCCTGAAGAAGGCTGTAGATTCAAATGAATCCCTTTTATACCTTCTTGATCTAAGAACACTCCCACTGACTCTACAAATGCCATGCGCAAAGGCTCACACAGATACAGGTGTTTTAATAACCAGAAACAGAATTCACTTTAGAAGCATTTATCAAATGAACAATTTTAACCAGTAATTTTAAAACCTTTTCTAAAAATTAAGACTTACTTCATTTATCTTTTCAAATTCTCCAAAATATTCATCAGGCTGTTCACATTTTTTCTTCCAGCCCTCTTCATCATGCCTAGAAGTATGAGAGGATAAAATTATTGAAAATAACTATTTTGGTAGAAATATAACCTACTTTTTAATTAATTAAATATTTAAACAAATTAATCATCTGACAATCTGTTGACTTGCCCCTTCTGCTAAATGGTCCACAGCATTCAAAATTAGGTCAAATTCATAGCATCCATAGTTTCTTTTCCATTTGCTGCCTTTGGGACCAGAAAAAGAGGAATGATAGGCTACATACAGTAATGTATAATGACATTAGTAAGCTTCAAAATAACATGGAAATAACTGAAAGACATCCATAAAAAAATACATTAGACTGAAAGCACTCTGGAGAGAAGAGGCATACAGTGAAATGGAGATAATAGATCTGGAATCTCAAGGACAATGCTCTAATGTGGTACACTAGAAAACATAGCTAGCACTCAAACAACTGCAGAAAGAAAACAAAATTCACTGATTTTTTTCCCTTCACTTTTCACTTTTCCCCCAGATGGATTGGTAAGTGGAGAAAAAGAATTTCCTTGAAACCATACATGCCGGTGTTTGAGAAACTTAAGAACTGACTAAATAACTCTATGGATATTAGCTGCTTCTGCTCAGTCTTGTTCTCTGTCATGCAAGTTCAGCAGACCATATATGTCTGCCCCACAAATTTCTTCGCATTTTGCTGTTTCCAAAACAACCTGCAGAACTTGTAGATTCATCAGGAGTGTTTAAAAACTCCCCTGTCCTTCTACGCAAGGTTAGATTCTATACAATTTTTGCAAAATGGTCCAGACTGCTTTTTGGTGGAATCAATTAAGGCATTTGCAGGTTTGTTGGGTCCAATATCATAAATATTTTAGGGATAGTAGTACAGATAGTCGTCGACTTACAACAGTTCATTTAATAACCGTTCAAAGTTACAATGGCACTGAAAGAAGTGATTTATTCACACTTATGGCCATTGCAACATCTTCACAGTCACGTGAATAAAATTCGGACACTTGGCAACTGACTCATATTTATGACGGTTGCAATATCCCGGGATCATGTGATCCCCTTTTACGACCTTCTGACAAGCAAAGTCAATGGGGAAATCAGATTCACTTAAGTTTTTCAACTTGCCGAGGAACTGGGGGGAGGGAAATGGAATGTGGAGAATGTATGCAGAGAGCATGGAGCCAGCAAGGTCACCGCTGCAGGTGCTTGAGAAAGAGATGGACTGTTTTCATAACAAAAGACCCTCTCATAATTGGACAATATGATCAACCGAGAGCGGAGGGGAGGGAAGGAGAAAGTGTTCTTTAACTTCCAGAGAAGAAAAAGATTTTACTCCATGAAAATAAGCTGAGTTAACTGGAATCAGGATGCATTTTTCTCTGCTTGATATGTGCAACTGAAAGGTTTAACCCAAAATTTGAAAATGTATTTTTTAACATATATATAATGCTTAAGTAACTCTTAAAGAAGCAAAAGCTATTGAAAATGTATTTGAGAGTACCTGTATTAAGAGAAAGTTAAATCCCTTTGGGATCGTCAGCTTCCACTGCCTGTCAGAGCCGCCTTCACAACGGAACGGCGGCTCGAAAAAACTCCGTTTCCATGAGGAAACGGAGATAGAGCCGGCAGGGGTGGGTAGAACTCTCTGCAGAGTCCCAAAAGTTTTTCTTTTTCTTTTGGGACAGAGCGGATGAGATGCCCCATATCCCCAGCCGTTGCTCCGGGCTTTGGGAGACCTCTGCTAATGCAGAGCCAGGCGTCAAGAGCAAGCCTGTGAATCTAACAGATTACTCAAAGAAAATGTGAGCTGGATCTGTAATACTGAACCGCAAGTATTTTACTTATCTTTTAAAAAAATTACTTAAGAGAAAAGAGGAAAGGAAAGGGGGGGGGAAAGCCTTTTAAAATGGCGCTTGCAGCAGCTGGAGAAGAGGCAGAAAGGAAAAGTCCTTCCGTTTTCTATTATTACAATGTAGCGGAATAAATACCACTGGCTACATTTGTAGACAAAACTCCGCTCCTGTTTTTCTTTCTTTCTTTTTCCCCTGGAGACTTGATATTGTTGTTGACTGGAAAGAAGTCTTTTTTCTTGTTTTTTTTTTTTTCTTTTTAACAAAGCCTGCCTGGGCGGAAACATGGCACTGAAACTTACAAAATCAGATAAACAAGCAGGGGGGGGGGATTCCCCCACCAACAATTTAAAGGAACAAGTTTTAACTCTTCAGTCTCAAAAACCTGATTTTAATATAATAGAATTTCTCTTAGAGGAGATTGAAAGAAGGGATGAGATTGTGAATCAGCATCTTGAAAAATTTAAGCAGGAAATTAAAGAATTGGTAAAATCTAAGTTTGATTTTTTGGAGCGAAAAATTTTAAAAGTGGTTAATGGTTTTTCAGAATTTATGATACGGTTGGATACAAATACTAATTTACTAGAGTCTAAAATGGATGAAATTCAAGATAAATTGGACAATAGAATTCAAAAAATTGAAAATGATTTGATAAACACGCAGGATAATAGCTCAGAAGAAAAACCTAAAATGGATGCTGATCAAAAGTTTGGTACTGTAGAAAATCTGCAACAGAGGATTGAAAAAGAGGTTCTAATGGTACAATATAATTTTACAGAATATGCGATAAGACTGAGAGGTTTGCAGGAAAATAATAGAGATGATTTAAGGAAAATATCTTCTGAAATTCTAGCTGGGATTTTAAAGGTTCAACCTGAGGAAGTGTTTTGTAGGATCGACAGAGTTTTCAGAATAAATTCCTGGATTGCTAAGCAAAGGCAACTGCCTAGAGATGTGGTGATTTATTTTACGGACAAGGAAATTAGGAATAATATTGTGCAAAATGCCTTCAATTCTAATTTGCAATTGTATGGAAGAAAGATATGGATCTACAAGGAACTCCCACCCAAGATATTAACAGAAAGGAAGAAATTTGGTTTTCTGGTGTCTGAGTTAAAAAAGAGAAATATCCCATATAGGTGGAATGCCCCAGTTGGTATTATACTGAGACATCAAGGAGAAAGATATCAGTTAAATACTATAGAAAGAGCGGAAGAATTTTATCAAAATAGGTTGAACATGAATTTAACATCTTCAGATATAATACAGGATAAGCAGAAGGAGCTGGAAATAAAGGGAAAATATCGAATTACAGAGACTGTACCAGATAAATTGCCTTTGGATTTATCGGATACCCCAGCTGGATTATCCACAAATTTGAGAGAAGTGCCATCTGATTTTAATGTGATGACTTATCAAGGCAAGGACAAGCATGGAAACCAATTAGGGGATATACAAGGGATAAAAAAGAAACATGAGACACAAAAACAAAATCAACACGACCAATCTACAAAGCAGAATGAAAACCGACCAGTTGACATACAATCTGTAGAAAGGAAACCAGGATGGAAGTCAAACCCACAAAAAGAAAACAAAAAAAGAAATAGGTTGTATAAAAATAGAAATTTCTAACTCAAGCAACAGTGAAGCCAGTGACTTTAAAATACGAATGATTATGTGAAAACATAGAGGAGGCGACATATTGGTCAATATCATCCTGAGGATAGTGGCAGATCTCTGCATTGCCGTAATTTTGGGACGTGGAAAGAGCCTCAAACTGATGGATTTGAATTATCCATTTTGAAATTTCTTTTTGTGTTGATAAATATATTATAATTATCTTGAATCATAAGGCAAGAGAATCATGATGGGGCATGCAGAAGATCCGGTTGTTACCCACTACGATGATGGAAATTAATAATCCTGATGAAACCCACAATTATTATTATATGGAATATAATTATAATGTCACTCGGGTGGTTGTTTTTACTTTTATACATATAAGAAGATATTTATTACTGATGGGGGCAGATATGATTGAAGATCTTGAATAAACTGTTGCATCAGCAAGCTATGTTACCCTATTATGGATGTTGGTTTTAACAATCCAGTGGAAAGACCTCAAAGAAGATATTATATGGACTATAAATTTAAAGTTATTGTCTTTTCTTTTTTTTTTATTTAGATATAATGGAATATATATATATATATATTTTTAAGTAGTGTGGGCAGTGAATTAAAGATATTAAGAATTGTTGTGTATGGTAAATTTGCAGGACAGTGGGTGAATAAGCTAGCTACAGACTGATTAGTTTAAGAAAAGGGATTTTTAAGTGATATATTTAGGGGAGTGGAGGAAATGGATAGAGTGGAATAAATGTTAAATTAGATTTTATGGGGAGGCCGCTTTGAAATGTTATAGTAATATATATAGAAGATTAAATATTAAAGTAGGATTTATCGTATAGTTTTAAAGTGGAAGGTGGTTTTGAATTGTTGTAATAATATATAGATATAAAACACTATTATGTTAAATTAGAAGTTATTTTATAATAGTTATAGTATAATGTTTTTTTTTCTCTTCTTTTCTGAAATGTATGGATAAAGGGGAATGTTATAATATTTATAATATTTTTAGTAAGTAAAGGTCAGTATTTTGAGGAGGGAGTAAGTAATCTGTTATGAATTAGGGTTTTTTTGTTACGAAGAAGTCACAGGGGGGGATGGGTGGGGAGGGGGGGTTAGGGAGGGGGAGGGGAGGGGGAAAAAAAGGGGGGGGAAATTTGTATTTGAAAACTTTTTCAATAAAAAAAAAAAAAGAAAAGAAAAAAGATTAAAAAAAAAAAGAGAAAGTTAAAGAAAATGATGTACCAGTTTAAAGAAAAACTCTATATTATAAACTCTGTTTATAAAATAAAAAAATAATTATTCTATAAGGGTAGTTTGGAGGGAGGGAGCTAAATGCAATATTGAAGTTAAAGCTTGTATGTTAAAGTCAAAGAATAAGATGTATTAGAAAGTTTTGATTTTTTAAAAAAGTGCTTTTTGGTTTTTAAAAAGTTTAGTACTTCGAAGGAAAAAGGAGGGTGAAAGAAAAAAAGCCCCCCCCCCACTTTTAGGCCAAAGAATTTGAAACTACAATAAATTTTGTAAAATTATGACAGTTCACAAAGAT